CCCCCCCTGAATGGATGGCTGTTTTCCTTTCCGCAATTAACATCCCGGAGTTGTCGGAGTCGTCAGGTACGAATTAATTAGTCGGCCGTTAGATCGGCTTCTCGAGGGGTTTGTTCGTGGACAGGATAGGAATCGGCGACGGCGACGGTGGAAACGGAATACAAACTGAACCGAATTTCTGCACGAGGCTTAACGCGAGTCCTGGACGCCCAGGGCTTAGGTATAGACGTGTTCGTCCTGTTGGAAGTAGCGGAGAAGGGTGGAAGAACTTTAAACCGAGAGGAACGTCTTGCCTTATCCCATCCTCCGTCCCGTTGATAATTAACTGCAGCCTTATCTGCAGCCGTCTCCTCTCTCAAATTTTCCAATTAAATCGGGGAAACCTCTTTCCGCAGTTTTCATCCCTTCCCGGTCGTGCAAATGTCCTGATGGATTGTTTGCCGTGGCTTATTCAATTACCTGCATCGGCGATGGGAGCGGGACTTTTTCTTCGCACGCCGGATGAAATCACGGGAAATCGATACAGAACGTTTCAACATTTAAGCTCGATTCGTGTCGAGTCGCGTGTATTTTAATTCCTGTTTAGAGGAACGATTGGCTTCCTGATCCTCTGTATTTCATTCACAACAATCTGACATTTCTGTGTCTCATTCAAAAGTTTCTCATCCTCTTAGTAGGGAGAAGGTTACGCTGATTTACGTTTCGCGAACAATATTTATTAGAAATAAATGTGAAATTTAAAAATACGGAAAATGAACAGTCGGAAAACGTCACGCGAATCACAACAGCTTTTTAATGGAATTGCACCAAGTGTCCAATTATTCATGCGTCCCAGTGTATATTACAAAGTATGAAAAAATATTTTTCAGTATTAATGTTTAATAATCTAAAACAAAATTTTAATAGAATAAAATTGGCGTTTCATCATGGAATACAGAATTTCAAATGGTTAAAAATGTACTTGATATTTGCAATTTTTTATTTTTTGTCAAAAACTTTAAAGAGAAATTTGTCAAGCAATTATATTAACAACAACAAGTATATTTTATTTCTACGTATTATGTGCATTCTTAAGATTTCTGCGTCTTTAGATTCCTCACAGATGCTTAAAAAATTTGCAGTCTAATTACGGGATAAATAACGAGAA